TGGGATTTGCCTGACGTCGGCTACTTCCACCGCGACGTGTCGACGCGAATTTTGCGGTTGAGGCCAGACTCGGAATCAGCAAAATATTCCGCACAAGAGAGATTTGGTCCCATTTTAAACGCCAGCCGGAGCACAAAATTACAGTAGGATATTCAATCTGTCTGGTAGGTGCTAATAGAAATAATCTAATAAAAATGATTTCTCGCAGAATTTCCACGCGGCAGCCAAATGAAGACCAGGCTAAGCTTCACTATTAATTAACTCTTCATGGTTATGGGAAGGTTGGTTCATTCATATTGTATATTCATCTGACCCTAGCTGAAAAAACTGGTTCTGGCCTTTTAGCGGGGAGGCCAAATTTTCCCTGTGATGCTTTACGGCCCTTTAAATCAATATAAACCATTTTTATAGCATTTTACATAATTTTAGATACAAAAACAATTATAAAAATAATGCAACGCTTCGCAAATTTTTGACTTTCTAGTGAAAAATGTATGAAAAATGATCGAAAAAAGGTTAACACTTGTAAGATACCCCCTAAAGTCTCAGGCATTAAGTGTCTCAACCCAAACACTAAAATTAAACGTATGCAAAAGTCCACATAAAACTTTCTTTTCATCATTTCTTTCGCAAATCACCACGAGGAATCCAATACCGATTCCTTTTTAGATGCGAACACCACCCACGCAAAGCACCCCGAGGCACCTCAGCGTCCGGACATGGAGGAGAGAGAGAAAAGAGACCAAAAGCCCCCACCACCTTGCTCGTTTTCGCGTATATAAAAAATTAGTAAATGGAAGCGCGATGATCTGCAGCACGCTGTCGCACAATGGCGTCGTCGCCGTCGCCTTTTCCCTGCTTTCCCCCTATCCGAAGTAGATTTGTATCCTCTGGGATGGGAGCTCTGATTCGATGAGTCTGCCTGTCTCACCCCCCTCGTCCAACAGGACAATCAGAACCCCCATTAGATCCTATCTTGTATTATACAGGGTGTCCCAAAAAAAATCCCCTCCCCCTAGCCGGCCGCAGACCCACCCGATTTTTACGATTTAGGTATCTATCGAAAGCTCTCGGAAAGGCGATGTCGGGACGCCTGGTCGATTTTCGAAATGTCGAAATTTTTTGCTCGATTTTCGGCCTTTTTCAGGCAAAAAGGACTCGCTTTTTTGTCCAAAACGCAATTTAACCGGTTTATGCGCTATCCAAGCTGTGTTTTCGCAAACGGCTTTCAAAGAGCTGTCGTTGGGCTGCCAGGAAAGGCATAAAAAATCTTAAATTGCGATTTTTGTAAAAAACGCCTTCTCAGAAAAACATCAGAAAATCCGCGCTTTTCGCAAAAAACATTAGTAAATGATAAAAAAATTTCGACATTTCGAAAATCGACCAGGCGTCCCGACATCGCCTTTCCGAGAGCTTTCGATAGATACCTAAATCGTAAAAATCGGGTGGGTCTGCGGCCGGCTAGGGGGGGGGGGGATATTTTTTGGGACACCCTGTATATTAAGTATATATCTGTTATTATCGTATTGTATAAGTGTAATAGTAATAAAACGTGTAATAGTCTAACATAACAGTAATACATATAAGGGGAATAATAATGTAATGTAATGTAATATAATGTAATGTATCACTGTGAGCTTACCCGACGGGGCCACAAATGGAAGCGCGATGCCCCGCAGCACGCCAACCTATTCACGAAAATAGAATAATTTAATAATTTAAAATATAGAAAATAATTTTTCATCTAAAAGTCACCATAACCCCCCCAGAAACGAACTAAATTTTTCATTGTTACTTTGAAATCCAATAAGAAGAGAACCACAGCAACGAGAGCGCACTTTTCTCAAAAAATGTTCTTACGCGTAGCCTAATACGGTAACAATGCAGAAAAAATTGAACAATTATTTTGGCATCGTAATGTCAAAAGATAAAATTTGGCGACTTCCAGCCGCGGTGTCAATAGGAAAATACGGAAAATGGCACCCGGCGAATGCTCCGGGGGCAATTAAAGGGAGATGGAAGGGAAGGGAGGACGGGTAGCGAGATAGAAATAGAGACAGAGAGAGAGAGAGAGAGAGAGAGAGAGAGAGAGAGATCGAGGGGATGGGTTGGTTAATTTGAGCCGTCCATCTCTAGTGAAGAGGAGAGTACGGGATGCTCCTATGGATGGGAGGGATGGATGTCAACTAGAATACGCACGTACGAAATACGACTACGTCAACGGGGAAGCTGACCAAAACACGTGTTTTAAACAACAGAAAATCTTCAAGAAGATCTGCTAGTTTCCTCAAGGGCCTTTGCTAACCTGTTCTACAGAATTTTCCGCTTCCGCAATAATATGGGCTAGCCTGCCCTCTAGATTTACCACAGTTTTCCTAAGAATCTTTGCTAGCCTGTCGTCTCCGATTTTTACGCAGTTTCCCAAAGAAACTCTGCTATCTTGCCCGAAGTAAAATATAGCTATATTTCCTCAAAAATCGCAGCTATTAGATTTTTACGCCGTTTCCTCAAAATCCGCAGATTGTTTGCCAAGAATTCCTCAAAAATCCCTGCTACTTTACTAGCCTTGATTTCCTCGAAAAGCTCGGCTAGCTAGCCTCCTACCCCTAAGAATCTCTGCTAGCTTGTAATCTCGCGATTTTTACTTTCCTCCAGAATTGCTGTTAGCTTGCCTTCGAATTCCTCGAAAATCCCTGCTAGTCTGCCATCATCGCTTTAATTTACCTAAAGAAACTCTGCCAGTTTGCCTTTTCCCAAAAACATACACAGAACGTTGAAACGATTTATTTGCCAATGATACAGAATACACACAAAATTCCGGGGGAAACACAATGATGATGATGAAGAAGAAGAAGAAATGGGGGGTGTGTGTAGATAATTGTCCGTCCATCCATTAATGCGGCAATCTGGAGAGAGACGGACAGACCGAGAGAGGGAGAGAGAGAGAGACTTCTTCTTCGCGTGACCAAAAGCAATTTCTGCAAAAAAATTACATACCGTAGCTGAAAAATTAAAAATTAAAATTTGTTGGATTAGAATTTGAAAATTTTCATTTGAAAAGTTAAAAATGTTTTTATAAACAATAACAAACGGCTCAAGTCTAGGAAACCCCCCCCCCCAGCCGACTTTTCAACTTTTCTACCTTCCTTATTTTTATTTTTCGCTACTTTTTTCGACTGAACTGCAATGTAGTCTTACTAATTAGACTACGGCGAACATTTTGGTATACTTTAGAGCTCGCTAGCACAAAAGGGGGCCGAGATACAAAAGTCGGTGCCGGCTGGGGGGGGGGGGGTTTTCTAGACCCTTACCAAACAAACTAATTTTAAATCGACGTGCTATTGAATTAAATCAAGGCTAGTAAAGCTGACTAAAACCAAAATTCTGTAGTTTGTAGCCTGTGTTCTGGTTCCAAATATCTTTAAAAACGGGCTTGGATTTGTAGTTTGTATTTAGTGGATTTTCCAAAATGGTCACTGCTAGCCTGGGTAAGAGTTTACTTTACCCCCCACAGCCGAAGGGTCTCAAAGTTGTCGGTATTTCCGCTTATTTTATCGGGATTTTCGCAACGCCATTCGATAGAGCGTCAAAAAATATACTAAGAGTTTTAATTTGAGCCTACAATAATGTAAAATAAAAAAGTTATAGCCAAAAACTTCCGGCTGGGGCGGGGTAAAGTAAACCGTAGCCCTAGCCTGTCTTAGTGTGAAAAACACCTAATTGTATTCCGTCGGTCCATTTTCTACCGAAATTTTTGATTCCCAAGGTCTCTGCTAGTTGGCTAGCGTAAGTGACCAGCTGATTGCCTTCCTAGTACCTTTAGAGCGTGGCTTGCAAGCCGGTTTAGCCTCCCCAATGGTTTCTGCTAGCCTACCATCCTAACTGACACCCAGTCTGCCTATAAAATGCCTCAAATCCACAAATTTCGGGTAAATCTGTAGTTTGTAGCCTACACACGTACCTAATAGTATAGTAGTGATGGTAGTAGTCAGTTAAGAGGGGAGCGGGTGGGTGTGGGTTGGTAGATGAGCATCCGGCTGTTGTTCTTCACCTCTTCTCGTCTAAAAATCGGAAATTAAAAACCAAAACACAAAAAGGACTCGATTTGCCGGTGCTCTGCTTGCTGCCCTTGCTACGACTCTGGCCGCTCTGCTTGCTATCCCGGGATTCCGCTGTTAGGATCGTCTGAAAAATAGCATAGAGAGCGATAGAGCGAGAGTGAAAGCGAGAGGGAGGGAGAGAGAGAGAGGGGGGAGAGAGAAAGAGACAGTGAGAGAGGGAGCGAGAGAGAGACAGAGTGAGACTCACCTCCTCCATGACGGATGCGCCGTACGCGCGTTCCTTGATCGACGGCACGGCATCTTTTTTCTTCCCGCACAACACCACCTTGAAAAATTAGACATTTTAAAGGGATTGGTAATGGATTTTTCCTAGCGTGGTAGGGTTTTCCATTGCGTAATCGATTATGACATTTTCATGCCGAAGCGGTTTTTTTAGGAAAGTTGTTTCTAAGGGCTTCTTAATTTAGATAATTTAAATATTTGAGATTAGCATACCATAAGCAACAGGATGCCCGGGTAGAAGAGCCAGAACATTCCGCCCACCGAGGAGACGGCCAGCGAGCAGGAAAATGCGATTTTTTGGCAGGATTTTCCGGACGGGATTGGTGTGTTTATGTAAATTTCTCACAAATTATGCAAATTACGAAAATTATGAATTCAAAACTTCTTTTTTCTTTGCTTTATTCTTCCCCATTTTCTGTGGAAGTTCATGGTTGTCTGCAAATTGATATTTTACCGATTATTGCCTCAGGTTATGGATTTATTTTATTGCAGTAAAATATATAAAATCATTTAATAAAACGACATAAATTAGGTATCACAATTTATCTACACGTTGAATTAATTTGAGGCATAATCACTTATTTTAAATCAAATAATTTTTGTGCATTAAAGGAATTGCATGGCGTAATGAATTGTGGATTTCAAGGTGGCTGTTCACATTGCGTTTCGTAGTTTCAAGACAGTTTTTTCTTGTTCCTTATCCGTATGCGATTTCCGGAGGACCCGTTGCATCAAGTCATAGTCCTTGGCATCGTATGCAAGCTTGGCGGCGGTGGCAAAATTTCTGAAGAATCGATTTGTGGTTTTTTAGGGCTTCCGCAAGGTTCTCTGCTAGCCTGCCCAGATTCCCAAATGATCTCTGCTAGTTTGCCCTCTTCTCTGCTTACCCATATGCGATATGTGCAACCACCCTCTCGGTCACTTTATAATCATTTAATCGAGACAGAAAGCGCTCGGCCTGTTGCTTATTGCCGTGTCGAATCGTGGCCTCGATGAATGGCTAAGAAAATAAGTTTTAAAAAACATAAAATTAATCTACCGCCAATCCATATGGTGATTTCTTGCTGGCCATATCAAAAAGTTGTTCCCATTTCTTGTCGGCGGCCAGACCTTCGATTACCCACAGCGTGACCCTGAAAAATTAGATAGTGACACAAAAATTGTGTTTAGGCGCTTTTAAAGGGGTCGTGACAGTGTAAATACCGAAAAATAACTAATTCGCTACAAAACGTCTTTGAGGCGTTTTAAAATGAGCCAGGCCATGCGACGGATGGAGAAATTTGAAAATGCTAAAAATGCGATAAAAACGTTGTAAAGGGACCGTGCAACCAGAGGATGAAAGATCTTGTCCAGAAACTTACTGTTTATCAGTCAGTTTGTACTGCTGCTTCGTTTTCTGGACGATATCCGGCTTGGAGGCGTTGACAATGATCTGAAAAATGGGTATTGTCTCTGACTCACTTTCTGTCTCTCTCGCTCTCGCTCTCCCTCGCTCTCCCTCTCTCTCTCTCTCTCTCTCTCACTCTATCTCTCTCTCTACCTGTTGTCTAACAGTCGACACATTCCAATCAGCAGCCAATTGATTGCATGCCATCGTGACGACCTCCACGATATTTGCATCTTTCATTTGTCCGGCTATTTCTTTGGCCGATTCGAGGTGTTGACGGTGTTCTTCGGACTGCAATTTGGCTATCAAAAGGACTTTGATAAAACAGACTTACCTGAATAATCGGATCAGCCTGTTCCGAAGCATCCAAATGGAACAGCAATTTCCTGTCGTAATCGGAGTTCTGCTCCAGCAATGCCAACATTCTCGCCCCGCCATTTCCCAGGGCTCCACCGCTACGTTGCGTTACGTATTCCGCATAGAGGCAGCGCGCCTGAAATATGAGAATCTTGCGAAAATCCGAATCTTTTAGCGGTCAGAGTCCCTTTCAAAGCTATTTTCGGCAAATTTCAACTGGAATTTATGCTTTAAAGAGACCGTAAGTCATTTAATTCTTTATGGATTATGCTGCGCCGCAACGCTAAGCTGCGCAAAATGGTTTAGTCGATTACGCAATGAAAAACCTTTTGACTTTCTACGCAATTTGTCGCATTTTGACTATGGCCAAGTGGTAGTGTTCTAGCCCGCCAGGCGCAAAACCCGGGTTCAATTCCCGGCGGAGCCAAATTTGCTTGGAGCCACTTTTTGCTCAAGGAATCAGAAAAGAGCCATATAATACAATTACCTGTGGAATCTTCTGAATCTCCAACTCATACGTGGTCCTATTCTTCTGTTTGATGAGATGTCGAATGACTTGGTGCATCAATTCGGGCTTTTGGGCCTTGGCGGCCAGACCGAGGGCATCACTCACATCTTGCAGGGAGAGGAGGACAGAGACCTGAGCACGGGCATTCAGAGGACAGGGAAAGCGCCTGTGAGAGGAGGGGGGCCAGGGCACCCAATGGCGCGCGGTACTGTGCACGCCCGCGACCATGATCTCCCCATAGAAAGGGCCGAAAAATGGTCAAAAATTTGAACTTCAAATCGCTATAACTTGAAAAGGCCAGTGAATCGGGAGGCTGCTCTAGGAAGTAGAGAAGAGTCTGGGCTAGTTATGGAACAGGCCAGGCCGATCACAGCAGAAATAAGGACCTATAGCTTTTAGCTCAAAAGGTCAAATCCGTCCTTGTGCGAAGCGTTTTCTTTGAATTTAGGCTCATTCTTTGTGGTTTTTCACTGAACTTGCTTGGGAAAGCATTGCCAATGTTAAATAGCGACTTTTGGTCCTGGGAGGCTAAAATTTGTTTTGCAATTCCGGCAAGCTTTAATTTATTAATTTTCGCATACTATGCTCCAAAATGATCTATTGGGACTTTCCAGGCTTTTGGCGCAAAAAGCAAAAGGTTAAAGCGCTCCCTTGAGGGTGGGGAATCGAACCCGCACCCTCAGACTGTGGCTCATACCGGCGCCTTAGACCACTCGGCCACGCCCCTACCCCTTCCCCACGCAAGCTCTGAACGCCCGTGTGAGGAGAGAGTGTAGAGAGAGAGAGAGAGCGTGAGAGAGAGACAGAATGAGAGAGAGATACACTGATACCTGTTTCTCCTCGTCGGTCTCTCTTTTGATCAACAATCTCGCCAATTGGGGAAGGCCAGCTTCAGCGGCTCGACGTGCCGCATCTAAAATATTTTTAAAGCAACCCACAAGATTCTAAATTAATTTTCTTTCAGCTTTTGACGCCCTAACTTTTTTTCGCGCTACGACACGCAATGCATGTGCCCAAAATTTCATTGCGTAACGGGTTATGACAGTTTTTTGACAAAAAAGCGCTTTGCGTTTCCGTAAGAAAACTTCCGTAGGAAGTTCAGCCCTCCCTTTCCTTTAAAATAGTCGGAAACGGGGCGCTTACCGGCAAAAGATACTTGCGGAAACTCGGAAAATTTTTGTGCGATTTTCTCGTCCAGCACTGTCATATCGGCATAAGCACCACGGTTGGCCAGTTTGTCGAAATTGGCTTTGACCTGAAAGAGGCTGAAGATAAAGCGAGAGAGTGATAGATAGAGAGAGTTAGAGAAAGAGAAAGGGAACGATAGAATGAGCAAGACTCACCCATTCAAGCAGCACGACGTCATTTCCATCATTTTTCGTCTCATCACAACCCATCGATACCCTGGAGGCCACTCCAAAAGCCCCAATTTCCACGAGCCGATTTACCAGCGATTTCACCGACAATTCCTCCAATCTAAACCCATGAATTTCATGCCATAACCGATCCACTTACTGTAGATATGTGATGGGGATCCCGGTCCTCACCATCCGGACCTCATTGATAATTCTGAATTGGCCGAGAGCGCGGACCAGCTGGGATGAATCGAAGTTTGTGCAAAATGGGATTCCGAAACGGATCGCCTAAAAATGGAGCTATTTTTGGAGATTTTAAAGAGCCTGGAAAGCGCGAGAATCAATCCCTATCATCGACTAGGTCTCCAAAAACATACGCTTTAGAATTAAAAAATCGGTGTGGCTGGGAAAGCGCTATAAAATTCTCTAAATTGGCGAGCTGGTAGCGATTATTCCAATCGTTTTTGCTAGGTTAAAGCGCCTGATCCTGACTGGAAAATCGACCCCTTTCATCCGCTAGGTCTAGACAACTAAAAAAAAACACTCTAATAACCGGGTTAGTAGTAAGTTTTAACGACCCAGGCTCCCAAAAGCAAAAACCGGGGCACGATTTCAACTGACATTTTGCGTCTCGCGTATCTGTCTAGACCTAGTCGATCCAAGGCGTCGATTTTCTCGCTTTCTAGCCTGAACCGCTCACCATTAACAACTGCTTCTGAAGGGTCGGATCGGAGACCGAGCACGCGGCACCCATGCACTGAGCGATTGCTCTGAAATTTTAAACTCGGCGAATTTTTTGGCCGAGACAGCGAGAGAGGAAATGACACAGAGAGTGGGAGACAAAAGGTGAGATACAGAGAGAGACAGCGAGAGAGAGAGCGAGAGAGATCAATTCATCAAAAAAACCTACTTTGGCATATCCGTAACACCCGCAGTGAGATTCTCGAAAGCATTGAGGGCTCTATTCTGGCATGCTCGAATGTATGCCTCGAATAGAAATGCTCCCTGCGAACTGTAGCCCATTCCAAGGACCCCTTTTTCGTCGCCTGAAATCGGGTTTTTCAATACTGTCACTCTCCGTTTAAAGCTAATTTTAAGCGCCAGTATCGATCCTTGAGATCTACTAGGTCTAGACAACTATGCGACGCGCCTAATACCGCGTACAAAACGTTCAAAAACCAGTAACTTTGTGTCGTTGGCCAGTTGCGCAACTTTCTAGGCCTAGTCGCTGGAAGGGGTCGATTTTTGCGCTTCCTAATCCCTTTAACGTACCTGAAACAGGGCTGGCAAATGTCGATCCAGTATTTGCATACATTCGAACGCCGTCCGGTTCGCTGGTCACTTGCACGTGCTCGCCGTTATGCCTAAAAATTATCGTTTTTGCTTTTATTTGGTTGTTATTATTTCATCTATGCTTTTTTAACGGCTCCGTAAATACTCTAAACTCACTCATAAACCGCTTGCGCATCATCCACCGAAAAGAACTGAATAATCGACTGCGTTCTCTGGAGAAAAACGGACGATTCTCCTACCTAAAATTGGCAAAATTCAGAAAAATATTTTTTTGTGCTTTCCCACCCATCCCAATTTGAAGATCGCGTGCTCGCCAGGGACGGTAATCGATTGGAAAATTTTCGACAAATCGGCGGAGACGATCTGAAAAAGGTAATCCTGCTGTCAAGGGCTCTTTAAAAGAAATTCTTATTACACTATTCCACTCACTTGGATGAGCCGTTTCGAGTGATATAGCGCGACCCTGGATACATTCCAATCCGAGCTCATCCTACAGTAGTCACCGTCTTTTTCGGCCCAAGAAGTCGGCTAAAAAGAAGATTTTTGATGGTGTCATCAATATAAGCATCGGTATTACCTTGCGTAATCAATTACGCCTTAAAATCCGCTTTGATTCGCTGCCTTGCTTTCCTTAAAACTCACAATAACCCTCATCGTCTCTCCCTGTTGTCCCATCAGAAATTTGTTGCCGTAGACGCAGATGACAGAGCTGAGGGAGGAAGAATGGAGGGCACACCATGCCGAGGGACGATCACTCATTGCTAAAAACGGGTATCCGCCGGTTTTTACTATTTCTAAAGCTAAAAACTTTACAAAGTTTTGATGAAAAATACAAAAATATCGATTTGTCGACAAAAAAATGGAGTATTTCCGAGGGAGTTTTACAATTTCAAAAATTTTCTAGTTTTTAAATAGTTTTCCACTCAACAGAAAGTAAAACGTTAGTAAGAACGTTATTAAAATGCCTAGTTCTGGATTTACGGAAAAATAGCTTCGCCCCGCCCCCCGATAATGCACAAGAACCGCAAAAATTCTCAAAAACAACAACTCACGTGATTGCATCAACCAGGGAATGGCCTCCTTCACCGAATTCACGACAAAAATGCGATTCTGGCCGTCAAGGATGGCCATTCCCGTGTCTCGAGCACCATAATTGAACACGCAATAGTCCTTGATGTCAGTGATATCCTAAATTTTCAATAAAACTAACATTCAGTCCACATACCGTCGAAAAGTAAAAGGAGCCATCGGATCGGCCATTCGGTTTAAAACGATTCACGCAGCTTTTATTATCGAGGATGAGCAGCCGGTGAGCGCGAGACCAGCCAATGCCCGCAACGTCACCTGAAAATGGATAGTACAGTCCAAAAAGGCGTTCTTTCAAACCAATGAAATGTATTTTTGTAATTTTTGGCCAGCCATTTTGTTAGCGAATTTTACTCCGAAAAATTCCCGTGTCTGAAGTTTTTCAGCTTGAAAATACCTCTTCGAATCGGTTCTTGCAACAACGGCCTGGCGGCAGCCGTCCGAATCATCACATCCCACGAGGAATCTGGTCGACATTCAGCAATTGCTAAAACATTGTCGATGATGGCTTTTTGCCGGTTGCTATCCGTATCATCGAGATTTCTACAAATTTCTACTCACCAATCGGCCCTCCAAAAGGACAGGCCGCAAAATGGACGGCCTTTTTGATGCTGATCGGCTCGTGGCGGTCGTATACGGGCTCTGTTCTGAATATTTATCGGTTATTAGTTGATGTTGGTCCTTCTTGTTTTTCATTCTCTCGTAACTGTTTTTGAAAGGTCGAGACTACGCAAAACTCAGAAATTGGGAGAGGATTCACTGGAAATACGCTATTTCCCGATTCAGGCTTTCTCACGCGCGCAAATTCGGTGGCTTTTTAGCTCTCCAAATTCAGTAGAAACTCGTATGGCTCATTTAGGCGATCTATATCAAGAATTTCCGTTTTTGACAACCCACTTGAGCATGATATCCCCAATCGGCACCCAGTTGATCGTGTGCGTCGCCTTGTCGAATGGCGTTTGCAGCCCCATTTCTGCAATCACGGTTTTTGCAGAACTCGAAAGCTATAAATTCAGAAAACGAGCTCCATCAGCCGGAAAGGCCACGTTATAGCCAATTGAGCTTCAAACTGACAAATATCTGCAAAAACAGAGGCTAGAAATCTCGGGAAGCTAGCAATAAACTTTCAAAATCTCGCTAATTACGACCAAAAGCGGTTCTTTAAGATTTCCGGAAGTATTTCCGGGAACAAATTTTTCCTGGTTTTCCCGGTCGACCCACTAATCAAATATAAAGTGTTTTCACATTGTTTTTAGTAAATTTTAAGTATATTTAAAGTAGAAAAACCTTTCAAAAAAAGTTAGAAAAATGTTTGAAAAGGTCGAAAATTTAGTCATTTTGGGTCTTTCCCCCCCGCTAATCCTAAAGGTTCTATAGGATTTTTCGACCTAAGATTAAATTTTTTAATTAAAATGTGGGTAGTTTTTATGCTCAGGACTAGTTCAAAACCATTTAGAAACGCATGCGCTATTTAGAAAAAAAATTAGGCTTGGGCAGAAAAACTTTGGTTTCCCCCGTAAATCCTAAAGAACCCCAAAAGCTTCTAAAATCGGTCTATTTGTACCAAAAATTTCGAATTTTAACCGAGTATAATTTCGAGGCTACAATTTTCAAAAAAAACGAATTTCTAAACAATAAACTTCAAAAAACTTGGAAAATTTGATGCTTTCTAACTGAAAACGTGTAAAACACGTTATAAGACCACAACATTACAAAAATAAACCGTCGAAAACTGAGTTTATACTCGCTGAAATCCTCTAAAAACCACGAACAAGTATAAATTCTTTATCGAAAACGGGAAACGGCCTCAACACACACGCGCTCGCGCACTTTTACACACCACAACGACCAGCAAAAAAAACACACTAATTGACCTAACCAAGGGAGTGAGATATACAGCGATCACTTTCGAAATAACGTGCCGGGCCGGGGTGTAAAAGGGTAGCAAGTATCAATGGGTGTAATAAAAGAAAGAGAGGAATATAACTCGACGAAAACAATTATAAGGGGGCCTAAATAACTCGTGGAGGGGGAAGGCTTCTTCTTCTATCTATCGGTACAAATATTCGGACTGCAGGTTAGCGGCCAGCTCGGGCTCCCAGCGATCGCCGTTCAGCAGCAGTTTCTCCTGCAAATCAAGGGCATTAATGGGTATCAATATTGATGATAAGAAAACAGGCAGATGGACACGTTTCGATCGATTTCGACCTAGTCTTAACAATTTTGTCGTTGAAATTACGCGGCCGTGAACATTTCACAAACGAAAACTCGCAAGGAGACGTTTTTTAGTGTGAATTGAGTTTTAAGCAGCATATGCCGACTTTGTGCACGACTTGCGCTGATTCCGAATCTGTTTCCAAGAGCTGGTAGATGGTATTTCGACAAAAATGCAAGGCTTCTGAGCTCGAAAAACGGATAAAACGGTTATACTCTAAATGCCTACGAAAACCTCAGAAAAACGATTCAGGCAAAAAGAGCGTTAGCGCGTCATGCTCCATAAAAATGTACGCTTTTAAATGTGCTTTCAGTCCATTTTTCAACGTTTTCTCGGTTACTTTCCATACGGAAGGGGAACAAGGCCTAAAGAGCCTTTTGAGCAAAATTTGGAAAAATTGACGCTGAATCCACTTGAAAGCGCAGATTTTTGGAGCATGACGTGCAGATTGGTTTTTTAAGCTAACAGCATTGTAACTTCTTCGAAACAAAAATTTGAAACAGATTCGCAATTCAGATGGCAAGGAAAAAAAGAAGGCAATGAAAGGAAAGAAAAAACTTTTAGGACAAATTTTGTCGGATTTCGCTACTTTCCATTCCAAGCTCATTAAACCCGATACCTTATTGTAGAGGAGCTCCTCGTGCGTCTCGGTGGAATATTCAAAGTTTGGCCCTTCCACGATGGCGTCGACGGGGCAAGCCTCTTGGCACAGGCCGCAGTAGATGCACTTGGTCATGTCGATGTCGTAGCTGAAAGCAGATGTATATTTCGGAACAAATAAAATATTTTCACTGAAAAATGGGTGATCACTAAAAAACCAAAATTTCACAAAAATATACCGGGTAGTCCTCCTGCTGCCGTCCGGACGCGTCTCCGCCTCGATGGTGATGGCCTGGGCGGGGCAGATGGCCTCGCACAGTTTGCAAGCGATGCACCGCTCCTCGCCCGATGGGTATCTGCAGAAAAGCATGTAAAAAAACTATAAAAAAGCCCTCACCTGCGAAGCGCGTGCTCGCCGCGGAAACGCGCGGAAAGCGGTCCCTTCTCGAATGGGTAGTTGATGGTGGCGGGCTCCATGAAGACGTGGCCCAACATGACGCCGAACCCGCGGAACAGCTCCGAGAACAGGATCGTGTTCAACCCCGCGTTCACGTCGCCGCCAAAAGAGCCGTCCGTCTGCGCCGGCTCGCCCACATATTTGTAGTTGGTGCGCACCTGCAAGAAAAAGAATGTATTTTACGTAAAAAACGATTCAAAAAAGTTATTTGCAAACGTTTTGCAAGAGATAAAAACTTGCAACGAAAAACGGGGTTTTCCAGAAATTGGTCCATTGGAACCGGAAAAAGTCACAGGCCCGATCAAAAAGCGTCCAAAGCTAGCAAAACATGGAAAAAAGCGGTTTGCTAGATTTTAGCATAATTTTTATCGCCGCGATCGATTCGTGCTAATATTTCAAAGCGCCAAAATATACCTGTTGTTGCTGGGCGGGCACCAGATGCCGGTTGGTGCGCAGGAGCAAATCCTTGATGAACCCGCTCGCTCGCATCGACATACCCTGCAAAAATCTGTTGTAAAGAAGCGCTGAAAGGGAAAGGAGAACGAGCGAAGCACGAGAGCAATCAGGAAACTGCCAGAAAAACAGCGACTTTTTGTCGGTTCTATTTGAAAACAAGAGAAGATAGCTCAGCAAGAACGAAATGTCGTCATAAGCCGCACTAACGAATCAGCTACCAGCAAATCTTGTAAGTACTGAAAAAGACGTGAAGTCAAGCATACTTCAAACTATTTTTGGTAGCGAAATCTTTTTTTGGTGAACAGCGCGGCCGTGGGGGCAAAAGACGGGCGTGCTGGGGGCTACGAAAGTGTCAGTGGACGGATGGAAGCCCGGCAATTTGGATTTGGACAGCCTGAAGCTTCATCCGGCCGGAAAAGTTGAGAACTAGCAAAATATAGACAAAAACGCCAATTTAAAAGACCTAGGATAAAATGACGCTGAAAGGCTAAATCACTCGTAGCTTGTAATTTAGTTATTTCGCCTCTTGATTAGATAAAGAAGTACGAATTGGTTTAAATTAGCTAAATCCATGCTTATAATCAGGCCTTTCGTTAGCTAAAAACGTGAAATTAATGCAAAAAATGACTAGAAATTGATTTCACTACGGATTTCGACGAATAAGCGGAATCCAAAGAAACTCTAGCAAAAACCATCGATCTAAAACCGAACAATACTCAATTTTCAATTCAAAAAAATAAAAACAATGGCGGAAACAAGCCAATTTTCCTGCCGCAAAAGCACAGTAAAAGCTTTTATTCGAAACGACAAATCAGAGAAAGACAACGGAAAGCTGGTCAACAATCAGATAAAATATAAAAACCCGGCGAGCAGCACCTGAGAAGAATAAAGACAACGAGAGAATGCTTGGAAACCAGAGGATGGGAGGAAGAAGAAGCTCTAGTCGCTGGATCGCTTCTTCCGGGAAGAACGGCGATGATCATCAGCACTTCTTGAGCGACTTCGCGAGTGGCGCTGTGATTTCCTCTTTCGTCGCTTCTCATCTAGAAAAGGTTAAAAATAAACAAAATTTCGCACCTCGCTCATCGTCATCATCACGGCGTTTCTTGTGCTTCTTGCCCTTCTCGTCGTCATCTTCTGAATCCGAAGAGTGCTAAAAACACAAAAAAATAAAATAAACAAAAATTAGTCCTTACCCGATCACTCCTTCGTTTCTTCTCCTTCTTCTTCTTTCGACCCTCGTGACTGTGCAGACATCCATCAGCAATCTGGCGCAGGAATTCGGCAAAGTACTGCTCGCGCAGCTCGTCGGATTCTACCTAAAAAGGGGTTATTTTGTAACAAAATAGAAAATTACAGCTTGATAGTCTTCAGACGCCTCAATTCTGGGTAAAACATCGGCCCATTGTGATTCGACGGTCAGTGGAGGGTCGAGAGAGCCGAGGAGATCTCTGAAAAAATACAAATCTTTAGGCTTTTTCGAAAACTCGGGAATCCAATTTTTTTTTCGCTAGGGTCCCAGTTTCGGACATAATTAAAGCCCAATGGTTCCGATACTGTATTTGTCGATTTCTAAGCTCGAATTTTATCAATTAAGAAAAAAAATCAAAAGATAGCTTTTTTCCATCAAAAAACGTCAATTTTCTACAAAGATTCAAACCTAATATCTTTACCATAATTGTTAGGCGGATTTTCCACCTTTAAAATCTAACCTTTTGATAATCTTCTTAATAAATAAAACAAAACGCAAAAATTATATAAAAAATTCACTAACTACCTAAAAAAACTAAATTAAGTACAACAAACCATAGTAATTTCAAACCTGAAATGGTCGCGATTCCGCTTGACGACACGCTGCTGCTCGCGCTCTCGATCCTTGATCCGCTGGGCGGCGCCCTCGACTTTCCTCGTGTAGTAGAGGCGCAAATGGTTGGAGGGAATGAGGCGTTGGCGTTCATCGGCTTGTACCCATTCTAACACCTCGTCGTACGTCGTGTCAACCTGAAAAAAAATGATGATTTGAATTTTAACAAAAAAAAAATCATCAATTACATACTAAAGGCTACAACGACAATTAAAAAAACACCTTAATTTCATGGTTTCCCTCCTTCAGAATTTCCCGGACAATCCGCGCATCGGCCACAAAGAAATCCTCGAGTTCTTTCACGAAAATCTAAAAAGTACTTTTTAAAAAAATCGGAAAAATGATACTTTGAACATGTCGAGAGGGGTGCTGCCGGGTTGTAGAAGCATTGCGGCAAAACGAGGGTCCGAGCAGATGGTTGGCGCTAATGAAGACCAGCGGGTGAAGGCTTGGATTTTGCCTAAAAAAAAGTTTTTTTTTGTAAAAATACGGAATTTTGGACAAAAACCCCGAAAATAAGCACACAATCGAAAGCGCCTAACAAAACGCAAAAATACAAAAACGAATTTGGTCTAAAACAGCATCAGGGACGTAGCGTAAGGTGGGCCCGCTGGGCCCGGTGCCCCCCCCCCGAAATCGGCCGGGGCCCAAAAATTTCATAAGGGGGGACCCTTATGATTTTTATTCCAAAAATTTGCTGCCTGGACGCTATTTTCACGTTTTTACTGCTATTTATAGAGCTATGTTGCCTTTTCCAAAATTTTCGCCTGCGGCGCTATTTTTCGTAATTTTTGAGTTTTCGGAAAATTTTCGGGGCAAATGGCTAGCCCTGAACAGCATTGAAAATTCTGAGTAGTCACTTAAGATGTCACCTGTCACATGTCAAAGAGAGCAGATTTTCTTTTTTTAGAAGCTTAGAATTTAGGAATTTATAATTTTTCTATTTTTGAAAAATACGTAATTTAGCGCCAAAACGCAAAAAATACCACTTTGTCCGTCAAAACGTGTGAAACTCTTTAATAGTCGCCATGTAATAGCTTAACTATTTAATAAATTTCAAAAATAGAGCTAAAGCTCCAAAAATTCACCTTGCTGCTGCAGCTCCACCAGAAATGCGCGGAACTCGTCGCGAACACGCCGATCGTGTCGGTACATCACCCGTTTCCCCTGGGCCTTGGCGAGGTTGTGCTGAATCTCGGCCTCTTGGATGAAATCTTGGAAGACGTCGAACGCGTCCATCTTTTCCATATCTGCAAGAAGAAATCAAAAGATCGCAATTTGCCATACTCAGCAGTTCCGTATCGTTGATGAAAGCCTTCTGCTTGACGAGCAGTTTCTGCGCGTCGGCCCACGTCGTGCGGAGGCCGATTTTGGACATATTTTGGAAAATGTTCGTTAGAGCCTAAAAATCGTAAACTGAGAAATCAGAAAAAGCGTCATTACCTCAACATTGCGCTTCTTCAACTGTGCCTCGGTCTTGGCCAGCTCCTTCAGAACGTCGTGCTAAAATGATGAACTAAACGCGAAAAAAAACGTAAAAAGTACCGAAACATCCAGGAAAAGGTCGCGGCGATCGTCGAGCGGCACGGCCAGCCAGAGCGGCTCATCGGCGAAAAGCTGGGCAGCGCGTTGATATCTGAAAAAAGAATTACGAAAATTAATTCCTAGTTTTTCCGGTTCTTTCGCATCAACGAGGGGGGATTTTTCTGAGGGTCGAATTTTTCCAATAGAAATAGAGGCAGTGTTGCTAAACTATTTTTGACTATTCCTGAACGTAAAAAAGCAAAAAAATATGGATCTTTCGACCAAAATTCCACCATAAAGTTTTTCTCAGTTGGCTTTTGATTGTTTTCCCACTTAAAGACCGTCAGAACGATGAAATTGCGGAGCAAGAAAGTTGCGCACCGAGCGGGGGTCGAACCCGCGATGGTTCGCTCCACAGTCCGACGCGCTAGCCACTATACCACAGGGCCAAGTGGGGAAGGGAGTCAGAGGCGCCCCAAACCCCAGAGGGTCCTTGTTCAAAACGGGACACCACTAATGACGACGCTCTCTGCGCGTCCTTGGGGGCAGCACCCTCGGGGTGACAGTGCGCGTTCCATCGTTCTGGTAGTCTTTAAAAGAAAGTTAAACCTTACTAAAAACACCATTCAACACTTACTATTACGTTATTAGGCAGTTCTAGTCCCGTAAGAAAAAATATGGCGCCCCCCGAGAATGCAAAAGAACCGCGCATCAATCCCGATACCTCAATGGCTTCTTCAACCTCGGATGCTCACGCAACCACAGCTCGAGGTCCCTCTTGGCTTTCAGCTTCTGGGCGCGACATTCCTCCTAAATTGAAATTACGAGTCAAAAAACAAAAATCACCCTTTCTTGCTCGATTTGCTGCTCGCGCCAGGCGTAGAAGATCTGCTTCTTCTCGGCGGCCTTCTGGATCACGCGGAATCGCGGGTCCGATCCCAAGAATTTCACGGCATGCTCCCACGAATCGTTCAGCGTGACTTTGCCTAGAAGACAGATGAAATCTGGGCATAAAAATTAGTACTACCTTCCTCATACCTCAGCCGTAACATCTCGCGGAACACTTCCACTTGACGTTTCCGCATCTCTTTCGGCACATCGTCAACGTTTTCAGGGTCTATCGAGGGTCGTTGCTAGAAAAAAACGATTTATCAGAAAGACAAACTTTTTTACCTCCTTTTTCTTCTTGTCCTTCTTCTCTTTCTTAGCCGACTGCTTCGAGCCGTCGAGCTCGCTCAACGTTGCGAGCATTGCCCTCTCGATCTCGCTCATCCCGATCGAGTCTCCGGCTTGTTGAGGTGGGAGCTGAGCGTCTGAAAAAGAGCTTAACCTATCGCTCAGAATTCCTATCTAATAGAATTAAATTGAAAAAAGCTACAAATTTTGATGAGAAACAATCAAAAAAGGTCGAAAATGTCACAAATGAACGTGAAAAACGACCAAAAACTGGGATTCAGGGCAGATTTTTAAGTTTTCCATTACATTTTTTAGAATTTCTGACCGATACTAGCGTAGGCACTACTGAAAACACTCCAAAGCGCCCTTTCTTGGCAGCTATCAGCCGAATTCAAAACACAAATAACCAAAAAAGCTGCTAATCTGCTTTCTAAAGCTCTACCATTCTTCTGCGGCACTTCCGGGGCTGCAGTTTGGTGAACAGGAGGTTGCACTTGCGCTGGAGATCCGCACAATCTAAAAAAATACATTAAAAACCGTATGAAAAGTTACTCGGCCGGTTTTGTCCATGTGGTTTCCCTGGTGACAATGTGATAGTAGTAGGTTCGTCCATCCGGCGCCACCGACGATTTCCATTTTGGCTCGGGTGTCTAAAAACCGATCATGAGAACGCCCGGAAATCTATACATTTTCCGGCGGTGCCTGGATCCCGAATCCCTCCGGCTTGGTCCAGGTGGACTGGCCGGTGATGGCGTTGAAGTAGTACTTCTTGCCGCCCTCCGCGTCGTGTTCGGTCCACTAAACAGTAAACAGATATACATTATAAAGGCTGAAAAATATACCGCTTGAGCGACGCGCGGTTCCTGGGGAACGCTAGGTGTGGGAAGGGGCGGCGGGGGCATTGTTTGTAGCAATGGCATTGGAGGCGGAAACTAAACAAAACAGTTTGATAGTTACAAGTACGAAAATACCTGGAATGGCACGACATTGGGAGGCGGGTGCAGAAAGGGAGGGCCTGAAAAAGAAGGTTGAAAGAATAATTGGCAAATTGAACTATAAAGAAAGGCTTTTGCGCTGCATAAAAACAAAAAAAAGGTTTTTTGCAAAAGAAGATGGCCTAAAAAAGGAAAGAACGTAAGCTAAATAAGTGCAAAACCCGCAAAACAAATAAAAAAAGCCTCAAGAATGACATTTTTGAAGCAGAAAGCTGTCGAACCTGCAGGCAATCCGGGAATGTAGCGTGGCAGCTGGCCGGGTGGCAATGGAAAAGCGCCCGGGGGGCCCGACGGCGGCCCGTACGGGAACATCGTCCACGTGCGCTCTGAAAGAATAGACAATAACAAGCAAAGGAGGACATAAAAGGATCGGAAAAATTCTAACGCTGAAGGAGGATTTAAAGCCGTTTTGAAGCCCCCACAATATCGTAAGAATTTTCCTTCTTTTACTGACGACAAACCGCAAAATCATTCTCAAAAAGAATAGCAAGAAACGAACTAATCAACTGAGCTAAAAACAAGAGAAAAAACTTAAAAAGCTTTTCGCGCTCTTTCGGCGAAACCGACCAAAATCCAAAATTGAAAGTCACTCAAGAGGATTCTGGTGGTGTACTTTGTATGTCTGTACACTGGTGTAACTCGTACCGTACAGCAACGGAAAAATAGGCAAAAACTGCGAAAAACGATAAGTTTTATTTCATAGTTATAAACCACAAGAAAGAAGAGTTGAGATCTTTTCCGCTTTTCTCATTGCAGCTCGAGCTGGGGGCGAATCAGCTTGGCTTTCACTTCATTCGTCGCAGCATACCCGGTACCACCGCGCTTCAGTTCAATGATATCGGATTCTTTCAACTAAAAAAGTGGATGATTGGGGTGAATTCAGGGATCTTACAGGTTTTCCATTTAGAGGATCAACCCAGTTAGCTTCTGACTTGATCAGCTTTTCGACAACGTCCCACGTCACAACGGTTTTGCTGAAACAAAAACAATTTTGATGCCTTCCAATTTTTACCTGGTCTTCAAATAAGCACATTTAGTCGTATTTGTCAAAAGATCGTGCGTGACGGGGCACATGTATCGATTCTGAAACAGTGTTCTATCATTAGAAGCGCCAAACTTACATTCTTCCCGTAAACACTCTTTGCCTTCGCATCATCATCGGGTGCTTCGGTGAATTTCACTTCCATCAGATCCTTGATTTTCAACGGATTTCCCGTAATTGGGCACATCACCTTTTGATTCTAAAAATTCTGCTAGAAAGATAAACCTCAATCATTACCGGCTTCTCTAACTTTGTAGGCTCTGCCGTCGGGTTCAGTTCAGGCAGCCAAAATGAGGGCAGTTGTTTTGCGAGCGCACCCTAGAAGATATAAATTAGCTACGGAAATCTTCACCTACGTGCATATTATTTCCTTTTGCTCATTCCCCAGGGCGCGGACCTTTGCAGCCACCTCGCTCGAGAACCGATCATTGATGGCGCGTTTCTGAACAATGGTTATCCTATCCTATAAGCCAGAAAAGTATGCGTGTTTTCTGTACGGCCATTTTCTCGGTCGTCAGACCGAATTTCGAGCTAATTTTTGGCATGGGGGTGGGAAATACCATTGATAAAAAACGGGTTTTTTTTGGATTTTTCGAAATCCTACCCTATAAGCGAGAAAAGTATGTCTGTTTTCTGTACGGCCGTTTTCTCGGCCGTCAGGCCGAATATCGAGCTGATTTTTGGCATGGGGGTAGGAAATGCGATTTATAAAAAACGGTTTTTTGGATTTTTCGAAATTCTTTCATTTTACGATTTTACAAGCAAAAATGTGAAAAATCCTTAACATTTTTGGGTGCGCATGTTGTCCGGAACTTTTCTCGGCCCCTAGAAGGAATTGAGGCTTCATTTTTGGAGGGTAGATGGCAAAAGTAATTCCCCAGATACATTTTTTTCGGATTGCGCCAAATTTTTTAAAATAAAGTTTTTATAAGGATTTTTCTGAAAGGTCCTTAATAAATTGCGTCTCGGTCCGCGGTGTCCGGGCCATAACTCGAAGCCCTGATGGAATTCCAGGCTGAAATTTGGACCGTTTATGCAATTAAGGGTGTGGATCACGCGCATCTTATTATCTTTACAAACTTTTTACAGGTTCAGACTAAAAAATCGAATTTTGTAAAGTGACCTGGAGGCCTCCCTCCGGGATCATTGGTCACCCTTATCTTTGCCGCCGGACCGCCCAGGACACAAGAGGCCTTTCCCGCCGTCTCTTCCCGTGTGCCCCTTGGGGTAGAGGATTGGCGCTTGGTCTACCACGCGCAAGGTCGCGGGCTCGGATCCTGGGAGAATTTATTTTTTTGCTTTTGGGTTGTTGGGCAACAAAGCATATTTCTAGGCTCACGGTGTGCGGGGGTTAGGCTTGGCCATCGCTATAGCGCCGCAGGCCAAAGAAAAGGCCCCTGGCTTGGGCTCTCGCGCCGCAGGCCAATGATAGATGCTCGACCCGGGCTCTAGCGCCCCAGGCCAGATCCTGGAGGAAAACCAGTAACTAGCGCCGCAGGCTCAAAGATTCTAGCGCAACGCTGGCTCTGGCGCCTTATGCTAAAAAAAGATCTCCCCTTTGGTGTAGCGGATCAGGGCAGGGGCTGTGGCGTTGAGGGTCGCGGGTTCGGACCCGCGAGAAATTTAGGTTTTTGCTTTTTGGTAGTTCAGCAACTAAAGCCATTTCTAGGATGACCGCGTGCGCGATTTAGGCCTGACTCTCGCTCTAGCGCCGCAGGCCAATGACAGGTCTTTGATCTAGGCTCTTGCGCCGCAGGCCAAATCCGGGGAAAAAACCAGTAACTAGCGCCGCAGGCAAAAAGATTCTAGCGCGAGGTTTAGGCCTAGCCTTCGCTCTGGCGCCGCAGGCCTAAGAAAAGGCCCTTGGTCCAGGCTCTCGCGCCGCAGGCCAAACAACAGATCCTTGGCTCGTGCTCTCGCGCCGCAAGCAAGCCTGGAGAAAAACCAGTAACGATTCTAGTGGCAAGCTGGCTCTCCGTGACTCAGGTTCAAGCGCGGCAGGCTAAAAAAGAAGGTATTCAAATTCATGGTTCCGGGACTGGGTCCAGTGGAAAAGGGCCGCGAAGCGGTCTTTTTCCACTGGTTCTTTAATTTAACGATTTTACAAGCAGAAATTCTTGATGAGATTCTACCCTGTGTTGTCGTGGATCAGGGCGCGGTCCACGGCGTTTAGGGTCGGGGTTCCGATCCGCCAGAAATTGAACTTTTTGCTTTTTGGTAGCTCATCAACCAAGCCTATTTCTAGGCTCACGGTGTGCGGGATTTAGTCCTGGCCCGCGCTCTAGCGCCGCAGGCTAAATCCGGGAGAAAAACCAGTAGCTAGCGGCAGGCTCAAAGAATCTAGCGCAACGCCGGCTCTGGCGCCGCAGGCCAGAGAATGTGCCGTGAGGTAGGCTTTTGCTCCGCAGGCTTCATAAAAGGAAAAGGAATTCATGGGTCCTAGACGGGGTCCAGTGGAAAAGGGCCGCGAAGCGGTCTTTTTCCAGTGGTAAGTTTGAAGAAGTCAAAGAAACGTACCCGCGAAGTTTCTGCAACTTTGAGACTCTCCTGCGCGGGTAGACCAGTCGCTGCTTCCAGTCGCCTAACTCGCTCCACTTGCTTCTCTTCTTCTTGCTTAAAAAAATAGTTTGAATGGGGTGAAGGTGCTCACCTTTTTCATCGCTTCACCTTCCAATTCGATCTGACGCTCCCAACTTTTCGTCAACTTGTTGATCTTCTTTTTCTGTGCCAGGAAATATTCGATCATGGCCTCTCGATCAAAGATATGGCCCTCTGGCGAGATGACGGGGTGCCTGAAAAAAATCGTAGAGTTCGTCAGTTCTCCTGTATCTTAAAAAGAATTAGATCCATACCTGCAAGGCTGAAGCGTCAATGAGCAGCAGTCGAAATCCTTGATTGAATCTGCAGTCAGACGAGCGTGAAGGGTGCCGAACCTGAAGAATAGATTTTAGATAACTTTTTTGCAAATTACCCGCTGGCTTTCGCATCCTTGGCGCGTTCCGCAGCAGAATAAAATGACGAAGCGGTGTTGTTCTTTCCGTGGCGTGTCATTACTAAAAACAAGAATTCTCAAAGTATTATCTTAAAAGAAATGAATACAAGCATTACGATTCATCCTTTAATAAAAACGCGCACGAGAGGGAGCGACCTTTTTTTTCTGATTTCTGACCGCGCTCTATCCGAATCCGAAGAGACCAAAGTTCTAGGTCCTTTCCCCTTCGAGTTATAGTTGCCTTCAGACGGACAGACACCGCTACTGATATCTTATAGTTGATAATAAGCAAAGGAGGACATAAAAAAATATGCTGAAGGAGGAGTTGAAGACGTTTCGAAGTCCCCACAATATCATTAGAAATTTCAGTTCTTTCTCACGCCAGAAATGGCAAAGCCACCCCAAAAAAGAATAGCAAGAAACGAATTAAAGCTAAAAAACAGTTTATCAAAAAAGTTTACATTTTTTGTGCTAATTCAGCGAAATCAACAAAAGTTCAAAATTGAAAGTCATTGAAGAGGGTTCCGGTGACGTACTCTGTATTGGGTTGTACACAGGTGTAACTCGTAGCGTACAGCAGCGGAAAAAATGTTGGCAAAAACTGAAAAACGGGTGTTTAGGTTCTCGGGAAAGGAAATTTTAACGATAATCCTACTATATATTAAAAATAGGGTACACATAGGATAACGGGGGGGGGAATAAAATAACGGGGGGGGGCACTCATTATTATGAAATTTGCAATTACTGAGGGATTTTGCGAGTGCCATTCGATAGAGCGTCGAAAAATATACTAAGAGAATTAATTTGAGCCCAAAATAATGTAACGGAAATTTTTTATTGAATAAACAAAAATTGAGGAAAATCTATGGGCAGCACATAGGATAACGGGGGGGAAGTCAAATTTTCGAAATTTTCGAAATTTTCGGTATTTTGAAAACGTCATTCGGTAAAGCGTCGAAAACTGCCCTAGGAAAATTAATTTCAGCCCAAAATAATGTAAATGAAATTTTTTATCGAATAAACAAAAATTGATCAAAATCCATGGGCAGCACATAGGATAACGGGGGGGGAAAGCCAAATTTTTGAGATTTTCGATATTTTGAAAACGCGAATCGATAGAACATCAAAAAGTATACTAAGAGATTTTTTTACATCGCGCAAAAATGTATTATAAAAGTTTTATAGCCTAAAAACTATTTTTGAAAACTATGGGCAGCACATCGGATAACAGGGGGGAAAAAATTTTCGGCGTTTTGAATATTTTCGAAATTTTGAAAATGCCATTCGATAGGACCGAAAAATATACTAAGAGTTTTTTTACAGCCCGAAAAAAGCATATTTAAACATAATTTTATCATATAAAAAGTTTGAGTGCCCCCCCGTTATTCCCCCCGTTATCCTATGTGTACCAAAAATAGTGTCTGTGTGTGTATGTGTGTGCATTTGCATGCAACTTCCGACAGCGTGTTCCAGCAGTATCTCAAGAAGAGGGGCAGTTAGGGTTATGTTTTATATCTCACCAGTGGAAAAAGACCGCTTCGCGGCCATTTTCCACTGGACCCCGTCCATTCTTTGGACTGCGGCGTCAGAGACAGCGTTGCGCTAGGATAATTGGGTCTGAGGCGCTAGTTACTGGTTTTCCCCCCAAGCTTGGCCTGCGGCGCGAGAGCCTGGGCCAAGGACCCATCGTTGGCCTGCGGCGCGAGAGCCTGGGCCAAGGACCCATCGTTGGCCTGCGGCGCGAGAGCCTGGGCCAAGGACCCATCGTTGGCCTGCGGCGCAAGAGCCTGGGCCAAGGACCCATCGTTGGCCTGCGGCGCAAGACTGGCTCCTTGGTCGACCGTCCAACCTCCCACGCCAAAATCACGTTTGATGATAAGGATTTCATAAAGCGCGTTACGGCCATCATACGCCTTCGCAGAACGGCACCCATACCAAGGAAACCCGTAAAAAGAAAGAAGCAATGCATGGGCTGAAAAATAGCATTTCACAAAGTAGATTTGTTTGGTACTTACGTAATAAAAATCTTTGAGGAACGGTATTGATGCCGTCGCTCGAAAATTGATGGCTAGGACGGGGAAGTTTGGGACCGTGTTGAGCAAGAGAATCGAAAAATCGAACAGAAACAGGAAGGTCTGAAAGCTTGGATCCCTTGATAGTTCGAAGATTTACAGCTATCTAGCATTTTAGCGGGCATAGACGTTTGAAAAAGGAGATTTCCTTACGTGCATAATATACAAACACGGCAATATCGGTCGCATGGCGCGAGTTGATTGCGTCCAAATAATATAGGCAGTTAAGAAGTATACAAATGGAACGAGTATCAGCGCAAATTGCTTATACCAATAGATACTATTCGACCAGGCAGTGGCGACATCGAGGTTCAGGGCCATTCAGGAGTTCTGCAGAGGGTTTCGATTGAATTTGGTAGACTTCAGGTTTCGAAACACCTGCTGTCACGCATTCTGTAGAAAAATAGCAGAAAAATATATTGAACGCGATGTTCCAGGGGAGACCACGTGAAATCCACCTGTCCGAGGAAAACTTAAGCTGTAATAACTGTATTGCGTTTTTGACGTTTTTTGGTGTCGTGAAAGCTTTTCTCATAATTATCGTCTCTCTATTTTTTTGCTCATCTCTATCATTTAAATTTTAAAATATTCATCGTGAATCGGCTTGAAAACCAATGGAATGGCAATGGTTATCAGCAACAAAGATATGCAATACAAAAGATGCTCGTATTTTTCGAATAAAACATCGCCCAGAATGTCGTCGTACCGTCCGTGGATTTCCATCAGCTAGAGATAAAACTTTGTAACCGAAAAATGACGGATTACCGCGTATATCGGATAGGCCAACGAGAAAAGCCTCCTCCGATTCCGCAGCGATATCACCGTAAGGCACATCGTCATAAAGTACAGAATCATTTCAGCAAAAATCATGATAATTGAACTGACGAGCAGGACAGTTGGAAGTAGCGTTCTTTGCTTATTCAGTGGACTATTCTTAAAATTCAAGATTCTTTGAAACTCAAACTTATTGTATAGATCGACAAAGCCCTTTATTCCCTCATACACCTCCGAACATTTTGCAATCGAATATAGGAGGCTTAGAATGATGAAAATAGGCTTCCAAATGGATTTTGGGAGGTATTGATAGAGCATTAAAAGGTAGAAAGCTGGCTGGGCGCAAGGGTGGAATTTATCGGCATATTACTCCCGGGGTTATAAGCGTCCATTTAGAGAGGCGGTGATAACAAAGATCGGCTATTTCACGGCATCATCCGATAAACACCGGCTTTCGCATGGATCGAAGATAATCGATTCCGATTCCGCAATGATAGCATTGTAAGGAATATTGTCATCATAAACAAAACACTTTCCGCGACAATCATCAAAACTGCTCCGGCAAGCAGCGCTGTAGGCAAAACCTTTCGTTGCTTGTTTGGCGGACTAAATGCCATCACATTGTTAGTCTGAAAACCGTACTTTCCATACCTTTTATACAGGCTAAAGAAGCTATTGGTTCCAAAATACACTTCATAAAACTTTCCGGCTGAATATAACAAGCTTAGACCCATAAAAATCAAGCGCCAAATCGATTTCGGCAAATGGGGCATGGGCATTGGGGGGGAAAGAGAAGGGTAATGTCTGATCGGCTCACGATTTATCGGCTCATTATAAGCTTTTCCTTTGAAGCCAGAAGATAACAGGCAGTTTTGTTTTGTGGCGTGTGAAAAATTGGAATCGGGATCAAAAGAACAATTCAGCGGAAATGGAGGCTGACAAGGAGTCGCTTTTGGGTGCTTTTGGAGTTTCGGGACGGGACCTAGCTAGTTCGATAGAGAAAAAAAATTCTGAACACCATACCATTTTCAAAAAGTGCTGATCGATAAAGGAATTTTAGAAAATTTAATTTTAAGTTCGCGCTTTTTTTTTCTAATTTTCGGGTCCATTTCCTCGGTTCACGTCGTTTTCGGGGCTGACCAAGGCGCTATTCATAACATTCCGCCAAGGCCTCCATCACCGGTTGCAATGGCGTATTGGTAGCGCGCTTGCCTACCAACCTTTTAACATTTTTTTTTGCCTCGGGTTCGAATCTTCGCGCCGCCTAACCGTTTGCTTTTTGGTTCTTGAACCCGTTATCGGCGCATAAAATTTTAATTAGCAAAAAAGCAAAAAGTAAACGATAAATAAGAATCGAACTTGTGGCAAAACGCCAAAAAAAAACTTCGTAGGCCGACGCACTAGCCACTTGGCCAAGCCTAGGACGGGATCCAGGACGCGTGAAGTCCTCATGTGGCAGGGGCGGTCGACCGCCGCAAATCACCTCAAATCACCTCAAGGGTGCGGATACCGGGAACGTTTTTAATTAAATTAAATTTCCTAAAACAGCTTTATCGATCAGCACTTTTTGAAAACGTGATGTTGCTCAGAATTTTTTTCTCTATCGAACTAGCTAGGTCCCGTCCCGAAACTCCAAAAGCACCTAAAACCGCCTCCTTGTGACCCGGGTCTGACATTTTGACAGAGGCCTTATGTGGTAACAATATCATCGTCCTTCCTATCCAAAACAAAATCCTCGTGCTCGATATAGTTATTTTCCATACCCCTGCGGGGGCCTCCCCAGTTCTTGCCCAGTTCTGACCTAGCTCTAGCTAATCTAGGAATCGTACGCTAGATCTAAGCCTTTTAACTAGAGAACTCAGAGGAGGGACCGGAGGCCCCAATGTCATAATCTAGGTGATTTCTCTATGAGGGATCACGGCTAGATATGATATTCCCATTAGGGTGGCTACGATTTACCTTCTAAGTCAGCATACTAACTATACTGAACTTATCTGAGCTCCGTGCTAAGGTTGCATCTCTGTAATTAACTACGTCTATTAATAACCTTACCCATTTAATGGTAAATTGGCACCCTAGACTAGTTTCGGGAAGCTGAAGGAGAAGACAGATATTAATGTGTGAATAAGTGGCCTGATGGCGCTTTCAGTGTAATTGACTATAATATGTAAGCTTACGGTATGGGGTTTTTCTTAGTTTATTTAGCATTCCTT